TTTTTTTTTTTTTTTTCAAAATAGGAAAAGTAGTTTCATAATGTTGTAACAATGCCTTCTGTTCGTTCTACTCGACAGTAGGCAGTTTCTGGTCTCTGTACTAGAGATTATCGATTGTCGAACAGAGCGACGCGAGACGAGCACCGCGACAAATTCAGACCAATCTGATCCAATATGGCGAGAAGAGCATCGAGCACCGACGAATAACTGTTGAAAACAAAAATTGTTGTTGTTGTGTGATCGTTCGTTCGAGCTCTCCTCTCTCCTCTAATATCACCGCTCTACTTGACGTACTTTTATTACAATCCTGTACTAATGTGGTTGTTGTTTGTGCAGAGACGAATAAAACAGTGGAGGCATGCAGCCGGCAATGACGACAACATTTGAAGAGAATGTTTACTTGAACGCAGTTCAATCCCGGCAATCGGCAACTTGGGTAACCTGTACAGGCTAGCAATGTTTATTCGGAATGACGATCGCGACGACGGATCGATCAAGATCGTTGAAATCGGTGAGAAAATTATCCTCTACTAGATAATCGTCTAGATAGTTTTTTCTTCTTATACTGCAAGTTTAATTTAGAAAATTTTGTTTTTATAAACAAACGCTTTATTATCGATTTAATTTATTTGATGATAAATCTCTTGTCCGACATATTTACTTATCGACCGATAGATAAACGGATTCCAGTTTAGCACTCTGATGGAAAGTAGGTAGCAGCGATAGCATATCTTGCGTGACTTTTTCTTTTTCGTTATTTTGTGTTTTATCTTCTTGTTTTTATTGTCATTGTTATGTTATTAGCTGTTGGTTATTTTATTACTGTCGTTATTATTAGTCGGTTTTACCAATATTATTGCTAATTCCGGTCCGAGATACGTACTTGGTTGTGCGTGTGCCGTGGTACGCTGAAAAAAAAATCTTCATTTCCAATGTTGTAAAATTTATGACATTGCGAGACACGCGCTGGTATATATACGTTGAATAATATTCGAGCACATTTCTCGAGCCAAAGAGTAACGAGTAAGAGTTGCGACAAGTTCTTGTTGAATATTTGAAAAATG